AAACAGTTCCGCAGCCAGAGACCGGCAAGCCCAAGTCAGCTGGTATGGGCCAGCCACTGGTGTCTAATTGCAGTGTAGATATAACCCTTTAGCTGGGTTTGTTCAGGACTTTATATAACAGCCTGCCTACTCCTTTGGGGAAACTGAAAGAACTTGTAAAAAATCACAGGCCAATAGCTCTCTATTAAAGAACTCATGCCAATTAATCTCTGCACTTGGAATTAATGGTGCTCACGAGCCATAGAGGACACGAAGGCTGCTGCATCACGGAGCCTTTAACACACGGTAGCTCTAGATGAAGAAATTTACAAAGGTGAAGACAAATATTTGTAATGCTCCCCTCAGAAAAACCGCTCTGGATTTTTTTTCTGTTCTTCAATAATCCAAAGAAACAAAATGCAAAAGACTATTGTTTACTGAAGTGCTCAAGTAGAAATATCAAACTCGGAACATTCTAACACATAATGTTGCTCTTGCAAAAGTATCTTGTCTACATTGTACATTATGTAGCATTTTCTATTTTTGTTCCAATTGAGTGAAAGGAATATAGAAGCAGCCTTCACTTTAGGAATCACCTGACACTTGCATGCACGTTATTTGAAGCTTAACAGTGCATTAATGCTAGGATTTTGCATTTAATAAGAAAATCACTTCGCCTACCACTGGAAGAAAAGCAACCACCTCTGGAATAAAATGCAGCTGCTGTTAGTGCTTAGCATTACTGCACAACAGTTTAGGGAAGGAAATTAATAGCAGTATATAAAATAAGCTCTTTGCATTTGTCTATACAGTGTCTACATATTATAAACCATTAGCAATAAAAATAATATCCATTTGAAACTGCAGTGTGAACCTTTTAAAACTCGATTTTGTGTCATTCAATAGACACTTAGCGGGCCCCTAACATGTTGAGACATTGTTCCAGTATAGATTGCCACTTGCTAAACAATCACCACAATTTCCTGAATCACCTGTTGTTTTGTTTACTATCCACATGATGACCAGGCCCCAAGCCTGCCTAGTATATGAAAAGTTTATGATCGTTACTCAAGGTGGTATAGCAGATGGATAGTAACAGCTTTTGGTCACTACCTGCCTTGCCTTGATATTAAGCAGTGACATAGAGGTAACGAAGTCTAAACCCCCTTATTAATTCCCTCGAAGCCATTCTGTCCCCTGGACAGATATAAACAAATGTGTCAGTACCATTAAAAAAGATATCTGAGATAAAAAGGAGCCAATAAGAATCCCTATCTAATAAACTTTTAAACTGTTTGGCATTATTTTAAAATTACTTAGCCTTTTCCCTTGGGTATAAAATTTGATCCTGGACTAAGAACTTTTACGTTAATTACCATGCCAGAGTGATTATTTTACTGCTGCGTGACAGTATGTAAACCTCTCAACAACATGGCTTACATCAGAAATGATAACAGACTTGCCATCACTCTAGTCCCATTTGAGGGCTGCCATCAGTGTAACAAGGTTAGCTGCAGACGTAGTTCACATCGAGTCCTGAAACCCAGACACTCCAAATCATATTTATGCTCTACAGCACAACGTAATAAGCTCTACTGGCATGGCAAGTAATACAAGCGCTGCCAATTGTTTTGACAATAGTCACATATATTTTACCAGCTCTAGCCAAATATTACAATTCCAAGTGCCCATGTGGGCCACAATTCATAACATGAAGCAGATTTGCTGACACATACAAATGTCCTCTTATTGTCACAGATCAAGATGGGTCCAAATCAAACCCTCAGATCAAAATACCCAAAACTGTGCAGAGTTCAAGATCCAGATCTGAATTTTAGGGTTTGAGCCCATCTGTAGGATTAGATACCATTTTGTTTGTATTTCAACTTTAATTTATTTTGATGAAGGTCACTGTAGATTTCACATTGCAAAATGGTTCCACGCTTATAGCAAATACAAAAGATGCAGGGCCCACTCATTCCCTAGCGAGATCCCAGATTGGGACAGACGTTAACTCTGTCTCTTTGGAAGTAAATTTTCTGCGTGCACCTGGGTTTTCATGTACAATTTAACAATGGGACTAATCCAAACCCCACTGAAGTCAATGAGTTTTTCTATTGATTACAGTGGGCTTTAGATGAGGCCCAATATAACAGGAGTTTTGATATGTTTGTATGTTGTCTTTTCTAAAAGGAACTGAAGATCACATGTAATCATGGTAACAGCCAAATTCTTGTCTTGATGTTGCCATTCTCACAAAGCCAGAATAATCTCTAGAACATGCCATTTTTGCATGATGTCACAAAAATCACACACACTTAAGGAAAATGCTTGAACCACTTAATTCAAAACCCCAGGGGTCAGTTCAGAAATAGTTTCTAGAATATATTTTCTAATGCTTTAACCAGTCAAGTGTTAAATGTGTGCAGGCAGGGGACTTCCAGCAAGTTCCTGGCAAGTCATAGATCTCTGAGTCAGGAAATTTTCTGTGTTAATCCAGTTTTTCTTTTTAATTAATCCCCATTTCACTTCGTTTTGCATCACTCTGAACAATGCCCCTCCCTCTTTGGTGTTTAGACTTTCCAAGTATCTGCAGGCATGCATTCTGTTCCCCATACTTGTGGCTCACCTTAGCTATATTTTTTTCTAGGTTTTTCCTTATAGATTAATCTATGTTGGACTTCAGTCATTTTCTGTCACTTTGATTTCCCTCCAGTCTGTCTCTCTCTCTCTGGTAATGGACGTACCCAGAAATGAATGGTTCAATAGTTGCATGGCAATAGGGTATGTGAATAAAAATCTCACCTTTAGTACACTTTTCCTCAGGGACGCAGTAGGCTTGGCAATGGTTTGGTTAAGTGGGTAAATTCAATCCTTCAGTCATCCCCCCTCCCCTTGTGCTACAGCACATAGAGCCTCACAGAGCTACAAAATGTCCAGCCCCAGCCCCCCCCCAGCACAAGTGTCTCACCTCCTCCTTGCTGTCAGATAGTGAATTTGTACTGGGTCTGGTATATTTAGGGCTTTTGATGCATACGGGTGGGCAGAATTTGCTCGACATCCATGATCCACAAATCACGGCCCTGATTCTGCAAAGTCTTATACATACGTTTCACTTTCAGTACGAGTAGTCCCCTGCCTAGTCACAGTTCAGAGTGTGTGCAAACGCTTGCAGGATTTTGATCCACGTTTCCAATCTTCTAGGTTCTTCTGTATTATTTCTCTGCCCTTAAGAGTATTCAACAACTCTCTCTCAGATATTATCTGCAAATGTCATTGATGTTCTCTAGACCTTCCACAGCCTATTAATGACGATGTTTTAAAACTCAGGTTTGTTTGCCAGGATTTGTTCTTCATTCCCACACATTGCTTGTTTCTTTTGGTCACACTATCCTCTGTATGTTTATGGATTGTCCCCTTATTTTACTAAAGACTGACATTCAATTTTACTGAGTCACTCCTCCCCGATTAAGTTTTTTTTCTTTTTAACTTCAGTATCCCATTTGCTTTCTCCCAATCTTTAGGTACCTCCCCAATCATCAGTGACTTTTCAAAAAGTAATTCTCAGTAGTTCAGTAAATTAGGGCTCATCTACTCAGTGTACTAGTTCGCACTAGAGTGGTGTAAATTCTAGCGGGCACTAGTTTGGGGCACACTAACTGGTATGATGTGTGGACCCTGCTGGCACACAATAAAAACTCCTGAGTGTGCATTAACACAGTACTGTTTGAAACAGGACTGCATTAATACGCACTACGGAATTTTCATTGTGCACCAGCAGGGTCCACAAGGAACAGGTAATGCAAAACACCCTAACGTGCGCTGGAATTTACACCCCTCTCGCGTGGACAAGCCCTTTGTGAGCTAATTCCTTAACACCTCAAGATGCAGAACATCTGGACACACTGAAATGTGTATTTGAATTTTCCAAGGTGTCCTGCACCTGTGATTTTTAGTGAAGATCTATTTGTACATGCTTCTTGTCACTTCCCAATTTCCCAAGTTTATTTTTCTTTTAAATGGTAGATGAAAAGACCCCCAACAATCCCAGCTCAATCTTTTAGAGTCGTCATTAATCTTTCTTAGGCATCTAGATGCTGATTCAGAAGGGATGTACATATGAACGTACATAACTTTAAGAATGTGAGCAGCACCAATGACACTTAAAGTCAGGCATGTTCTTAAGTACCTTGCTGATTTTTTGGCCTTATAGAGGCCTCTCAGGGTAGTATCTAGGTCCATTTACCAATTGGCTGAATTTTTCTCTAGTATTGCCATTAAGCCGTGCATCCTTATAAATACTCTTAACCCTTAAAACACTTTTTGCTATCATGAAGAGTGTGTGTGTGTGTGTGTGCGCATCTGCATTTGTGCTCTCTTCAAGTCTTATCTGACTATATATTCTGGTGTGGTCCCCACAATGCTTTTCCATTTCCAGTAAAGTTTTTTTACTCACTGTATCTTTGAACAGGTCCTTCTGAAGCCGCATTGACCACTTCTTGTTTCTCATAATCTTCATTTTTCAGAGGAACTGTCATCTATTGTACCTTAATTATGGTATCGTAGCATTCCTAACCCCTCTTCCACACAAGTAGATTTTAATAATTTCTTCCATTGAGCCTTCTTCATTAGGTTTCTTCATTTTCCCCAAATCTGCTTTCTTGAAATCTAATACTTTTGTACTACACTGGTTCATGACCCCTTTCCTCACCATGTTTAATTCAAGTAGCATGCAATCCCTTTCCCATTATTCTTAGTCCCTCTGTCAGTAACATTCAGCATTCTTGTAGAAAGACTGAACTAAAAGCAAATGGCTTGGTTTAGGTTTTGAAGAGAACAACCAATCTCTTGTTACATAAGATGACCAATATAATGACACTCTGAGGGATGTTTCTTACTTTAGCACAAAAGCTTCAGAAATGTTGCAACCTAGCTGATGCAAATATAAAACCTCACATATTATGTAAAGAAGGTCATAAATTCTTCAAAAATAATGAAATCACAAAAAGTTAATGGTCATCTTGCTTAAACACCACTTTATTATTCTGAAGTTAGTGCCTTTACAGGTCTAACAAACTGTACAATCATATCAGAAACTGTGACTATAAATTTATATACTCAGCTTAAGTTAGATAACAGATTTAGGAAAACAACAGTGGTCCAGGTAATTGTTTAATACTCCCTCAATAAGCATATACACTTAAAAAGTTTCAGGTTTTCATTAAAATGCTCTTAATGCTTATTTAGCTACATATATAGGCAACACATAGTTTATTACTGACGTTCTATATTTTATTTTTAAAGCATTTAACTATATTGGCAAGATAAAGAATTTCTGGTGATTCATGAAAAATATTTTGTGAATTCAAATTATGGCTTCTGTAAACCAGGCCAAAATAACTTTAAATACATAAACAGCAGATAATTATTGGCCATTATTAGTTTAGTAGATCAATAAAAAAAACAACCCCCCCCAAAACTAACAGCCTATACTAATTAATATTTGTTTTAGTTTATGGCATCTTTATTTCCTGTACTTTACATTAAGTCACAGCATGTGAGTCCTTAGGGTCAGTAGAGAAGCCACAATACATACACAGCTTCTAGGATTACACTCCAATGGCAGTAATAGCAGAATTTGTCTTTGGTCTGCTTAATCTCCACCCACCCACAACAGGGATTCAGTATTTCCTCATGAGAATGATACAACCAGGGAGGGATGGCAGCCAGAGGGAATAAGTCTAAAAGGAGGAGACAAGGCAGGAGAGGAAGTGGGAAGGAAGCAGCAAAGTCCAGTGGCCTACACTATACTATTGGTAGCTTATTTTTGACTATCTGAGAAGTTGTTTGCTCTTCTGGACCTTAACCAATAAAGAATATTTGATTTAGTGAAGATTTAGATTATTTAAAATACTGCGATGCTTGCATTTACGATGCAGAGTAGTCACTAACTGTTAAGTGGCCACTGAAAAGGTAACCATACTTCTATATTTTGGCTATACGTTTAACCTTGACTTTCTGACTGAACTGGAATAGACAACACAGTATTGCCCTGCCCAGGAGATCAGCTGAATTTAAAAAATACCAAGAAGTCAGATTTGTGAGCACTTGAAGACAATGGCAGAGAAATTACCCAAAGTGCTAAATTTTTTAAACATGCAGCTCCTTCTCCAGCATACTATATTTGAATGTGTATTAGAGCCATCTGCAGTTAGTAACATTTGTAGTACGCATCTGGATAGTTTATACAACATGCCAATATACAAATCCGTTCTCATCAGCATTCCTGTGCATCCAGGGAGTTTCAAACTGGTACACGGAGATATTCAGAAATGTCTAACATGCCCCATTTTCAAAATATATATCTAACAAATGAAATATACTTTGCAGCACACAAATGAAGATTTCTCTATAAACATACAGCTGTGAAGAGGATATTAGAGCAAAGTTTGTCTAACTGCCTTGATACGATGAAAAACAATAGATAATTTTTTTTTACAGTGGCATTTCTAATAATCTTTCTTATTTTGAAGGCTACACCACATGAATCACACCGTTGCTTGCCAGTAAACTGAAACACCACTCCAATGAGAAAGTATTCTGCTAAGTGTTCAAAGGAAATGAAAAAGGACGGGAGTAATGGGAGTATGTTTATCTGTGTTCTTTTGTGGGATGCTTGCATTTTGCTGTCGTCTATGTTTTCATCATTGCTGAAGAAGCTTGAAAGCAGGTGAGTTGCAGGTGCATACTACTTTTAAATTTGTTTAGTAGCTCTTCTAATAACCTGTAAAAAAGAAAACATTGTATAACTTTGGCAGTTTGGAGTTTACAGATTTGGGGTGTTGCAAGTTTGGTTTATCCATTTATTTAGAAGGTAATTAATGTCGCATATATCCCAAGCTCTCTGACCTTGGACACATTAAGGCAGTAATATTTTTGTATACATTAAATAGTTCAGTTTCTCCAGTATAGCATACCAGGAACAAACATGCACTACTACAAAAGCAGGTACTGTAGATGCACACCTATTTTTTATCTTTTTTAAAAAAAAATCTACTTATTGTGGGTAATTCAAGGAAAATCTTATTCTTTTGCGTTCAAGTTCCTCTAGTACTTTCTTACCCTCCCCACAGACAACTGGGTGCTCTGAAGTAGCTTTACATCCTTTGGTAACAGATCCTGTATAAACCACTGTTAGAGACCAGATACTTGAACACAGAGACTTCTGATTCGTTTTAGTATGAAAATTCTTATACACCTCTACCCCGATATAACATGAATTCGGATATAACGCAGTAAAGCAGCGCTCCGGGGGGGGCGCAGTCCGGTGGATCAAAGCAAGTTCGATATAACGCGGTTTCACTTATAACGTGGTAAGATTTTTTGGCTCTGAGGACAGCGTTATATCGAGGTAGAGGTGTAATTTCTCACAATATAGCAGGAAAATGACAAATTCCACTGCAGTGACACCAACAGACACATACTGGAAGCAGCAGCTTTCAGGGAATCAGTAGCAGAGCATTGGGAATGTTAGGACCAGATTGTGTTAACTTGCCACTTTTTCTTATAGTCCCACAAGCTTGTTCTTTTAGAATGCATTACAAGGAGCCTGTTTTCATGTGGCTGAATAGGATGATAAAGGAAAACCCTACTTAAAGCGTTAGCAGTTATTTCTGTGTTCTCAAATACATGGTCAACTTAAATCAGATCAAATGCTGGCACTTGTTTACAAATCCATATATAGCTGATGTTTAGATGTACAGCAAGCACATGTTATATTTAACCTGCTGCATAAGGGGACAGTAAAAATTATGTGTTCATGGAAGAACATAGCCTCAGAGGTATTATCAAGTTGTATGCTTTTGCCTTCATATAAATGCTATCTTCAAAAATAAATTTTCATTAAAGAGGGAACCTGCAAAAGAAAAAGTAGTCTTGTTTCTCCCAGCCTCCCACCTTTTTCCCCCTCCTTATGGTCTAGGTCTATTTAGACTATAAACTCTTTTGGACAGAAAATGTTTCTCTCTCTGTGTCTGTACAGTGCCTACCACCCTGAAAACACAAACACACACAAAATAATGTCAGGTTTCAGAGTAGCAGCACAAAATAATGTTGTCTGATTTTTTTTTTTTTGTAAAGGCTTGGTTTGCTACTTAGGAAGAGACTATGGTGCCTGGAGAACTAGTGAAATGGCAACATCAAAAAAAAGTCAAGCGATTGAAAGCTGAGCAAATGCAAGGTAACGATATTTTCCATCAGGCTATTTAAAACGCTTTATTGTTTATGTTAGCACCTATTGAACTCAAGGTAATTATTTGTGTCACAGGCATGGCTAGAGGCCTCAGATGAGACTAGGGGTTTCACTGCACTAGGCACCGTACATACATGTAATAAGAGACAGTTCCTGCATCAAAGAATTTACAGTCTAACACTAGACAAAGGATGGGAGAAAGGAAGTACCATCACCCCCATTTTACAGATACGGAACTGAGACACAGAGAGGTTAAGTGCCTTGTCCCAAGTCACACAGGAAGTCTGTGGTAGAGCTGGGAATCGAAACCAGATCTCCTGAACAATAGTCGAGTGCCTTAACCACAGACTGTCTTTCCTCTTCAGCTACAACGCATATGGAGGATGTCTTTGTTAAAGATTCAATACTCCCATCGCTTTAATTAGGTCACACTGAACATCTCAGATTGACAAGAAATTCCTCCAGCAAAACCAGGGAAAATCAGAATTCATATTTCTAAGGTAAAATTAAGTGTTTTTGGGGGAGGAGGAAACCCCAAAATTTTAGGTCTACATCAACAGAAGCAAAAAAGGGCAGCCCATACAATTTTATAAAATCCGTTGAAGGCTTCCTTTAAGCAGATGTCAATCATTTCCTTCAAAGAACAAATAATACGTTGTGTGCTGTAAAATTAACAGGTGTGTGTCTTTCCTACGATCAGCGAGTGAAAGCACAAATTAATACCCACTTCCCCAACAGTCCCTCTGGGAAAGGCTACTGAGGACATCCATCATTCACACGCAGGTGAATATTTCAATATTACATGGAGCATGTTATTGGTAACACCAGCAGCTCTAAATCATTCCATAAAAAATACATTTAACATCATTATTTTTAATTTTGTCATGAATGGTGTGGGGGAGTTTACAGATGTAGTGGTAACATACCTGAGAAAATAATTTAAGGTATAGAACACATCCTTAACTCTCTGGGCCTCAGAGCTGCCCTCTGGGTGGAGGTAGAGCTGTAAAAACTGTACAGTGCTTTGTTTGTGAACCGCCCTCTGTAGTTCAGCACACAGTGGTTGGAAACATACCAAGTCCTACGGGTTTGTCTGAAAGTTTAATTTCGATGAACTCCAATTGCAAAGGGGAACCTTCCTTACCCCAAAAGAGGCTCCTTTTTTATCTTCAGCCCCTCCTGTAGAGCTCTAAAAGGTGGGGAGAGGTCTTGAGGCTTGTGGATGGCAGGAGCAAGGAGTAATTGTTGGATAAATGGATGGAGGCCCATTGCAGGGAGGCAGGGTTCACAAATGTTGTAGTTGTGCAAGCATACTTTGCTTGCGTCTACAGAATATTGAACTAGGGTGATGTCTGAATGGATTCCGTGCAAATGTTTCACATATCTTTGGTTTCAGTTTCATAGACAGAACACAAACCAATACCAAGTTTGTTTTTCTGAGACATGTGTGCGTGTGATTGTGTGTGTAAATACATTCATTATGGGCTCAACATTGTAAAGTGCTGAGCACTCTGGCCCCAAACCAGCGAAGCACTAATAACATAGGTTTCAGAATAGCAGCCGTGTTAGTCTGTATCCGCAAAAAGAAGAACAGGAGGACTTGTGGCACCTTAGAGACTAACAAATTTATTAGAGCATAAGCTTTCGTGGACTACAGCCCACTTCTTCGGATGCTAATAACATACTTCACCTTAAATGTGTGAGTAGGCCCATTTATCACATGGCATTACTAACATGCTTTAGTCTAAGTGCATACATAAATTCTTTGCTAGACTGGGGTCACAGTGGCCATCACCTTCAGATCTGAATCCTTCTGGGCCAGTATCAAGGGCCCTTGTATAATACAATTAGATGATGGTATAAGTGGCTATTTAAAAAAAAATATTAGTTTTTAATTATATTCCAGAATCTAAGCTTTCATTTAGGAAAAAAATTAAGTTTCTAGCCCTTCAGTTGTGAAAAAACAGTGGAAATGAACACAGCAACATTTGCTTGAATTTGCTGACAGCCTGAAACAATAGGTCTGGAGACATGAATCTGTCCATTCACCACAATGGGTGTTAACTCTGAAAGTTAATTATGACAATTTAAATGTTGGCACTATTTCTGATTTTAGTCTAAACATGAAACTAATGTGCTTATCCGCCACTATATAGATACCGGTTTAGATGTAGCATGGCAGAATACCTTTGTCAAGGGCTGCTGGGATTGGGAAAGAGGAATTAAATTTCCTCTTCTTCTGAATTTAAAGGAACGCTACATTCCCCTCTTATTTAAAGCCTTTGGATTACAAAACCAAACAAAATTGTCTTCCAAGTTCCCCAAAACACCAATTGTCAAACCTTCAGTTTTCCTCCCTGGCTATTTCTCCAATGCAGTTATTGGTATTCAATAGAATAAGACAATGCAGCACACTGAAACTTGAAAATTAGCGTGAAAAGCTATAATTGACTAATTCAAAAATGATACTGTATTGATTAGACTGGACTAGGGAACAGAGCAGTGTCACATAAAAGCCAAAGTTTCTGCTGTAAAATTTAGGTCTAATGTGCCACACTGAATCAGGGCTTTGTCCTGAATCAGGGCTGCCATTCTGTGACTTGCAAAAGTCAAATGCCATAACTTATTCTTCAGCACCACTATCTTGCTACTGCACTAAAAAACCAGTGCTCTTGCGAGTGGTATTATAAAAGGAAGTACAAGTACACTTACTTTTTGTCTGCTCCACTTAAGAGTTGCGGCAGGGCTTCCAAAGCTTGCTTAAAACTTGAGCTGTAATGCAAACATATTTAATTTTTCCCAGGTATAATAGCTCTCTCTCACAGCCTCCCTCTGTATCTCCATGAATACATACTTCAATTTATGAAATGTTTTGACTGAGCTAAATTAACACATTATCAACTCAACACCTCAGGCTTATGTATAATTTGAACATAGCCAGCCATAGGCTCAGGTAGACTTCTAGCCTGAGGAAATTCCACAGCCACTGAAAATACCTGATACCAGATAAACTCTGGAGACTGACAGCAAAAATATTCATGCTGAACACAGTCGCTGTGAGGGGCCATAGAGGAAGAGGCAGTCTTCGAAATAACTGGTCTTAGTCATTTATGGTGCTATAGACAATAGTTAGTCTGAATTCCACCCAGAAGTGAACAGGAATAAAATGAAGAGTAGAAAGTACAGATGTATATGCTCTCACTGGCTTGATGTACTTAAGAGACAGGCCATTCCATTCTATACTAGCTGAACAGCTGACTGGCATTCCAAGAGCCCTACATAGAGGGTGTTACAGTAGTCAAGTGCTAAGTTGACAGAGCTGTAGGTAACAGTGTCAAAATCTGCATTCAAGTGGGAAGGGTACATTTTGGCCAACAGAAGATGAATGAAGGTATAACCAGGAGGAGCCTAATGAGACCTAGAGACTGTGAATGACTTTGTTTTGATTGCAACAAGCAGCATTTTCATCTTATCCAATCTGTGTTTATGCCAAATTGTTTTCATCCAGATCCCTATCTCTGCCAGACACTTGGAGAGTGGGGAAGCAATACTCCCCAAATTAGATGAAAAGATACTGCTCAAAATCTGATAATAAAAGTAACAATATTTCCCATTATCAGAGATGAGTTTAATAACTGAGTATTCATTGTTCGAAATTAATTTGAAATAAAATTTCTTTCAACAAATATTTAAACTATATGTAGTGTTTTTTTCATATTTATCAGGCATTTCATTTTAAATCAAGAGCACAATCTACTTAGCATCTTACTTGCTTTCTGGTGTTAGGTATACGGCCACAGCATCTCTCAATGCACAAATTTCAAGCCTTGCCTAGAGACAGAATGTAACCATTGTTACAAATTTAAAACATTCTTGGGTTAATTAAACATATATGTCACAAAGCCTCTCGCCTGTTTTCAGAAGCAAAATATTACTGCACATTGCAACTTTAAGCAGCCTTAACTTCAATAACTTGTTTCCTGTATTTCTGGTTACCACTCTGCCATGTCAGTTAGGAAGTGCTACAGGAACTATTACAGATTTGTGAAATTGAAGTCAAATTGTTTATCCAATCACTATGTAGTTGTCTCCAAACAAAGAGCGGTCTCCCAGTAACAGTACCAAAGCATGAACTCTGGTGCTCTTTTTCTGCTCTGAGATAGCATTTCCATGCTTTTCTATGTTTAGCTATTGCTTTCTACAGGGCAAGACTAGCACCTTACAGCACAGCTTGGCCAGAGAGGAAGAAAACACAAGAGAACAAAAATCGGCTAATACACATTTTAATCTGGGTTTTGCTGCTGAATTAATTTTCTTCTTCAGATGAGGAAGTAGATGGTTCTGCTCCACTTCTCTCATTTGTCACTTCACTGAGTATACAGGCTTGGGGATTTTGCCTCAGCAATGTACCTGTGTGTCAATTTCCAGCTAAGCAGGCTACGATGGAAAATGAAGTTTGGGTACATTTCCGAGGTAAAAGTGAATCAATCAGGGTTTAAGAGATTTTCTTTGCTCTCATTGAAATCATTTCCGTCATGGATTTTATGTGAAGATGGTAACACCATGAATTTGATCAATACTTAAAAAAAATCCCATTTACACATTTCTTTCTAGAAATGGATTAGAGCCACAAACTTCACCATAATTCACAATCAGCTTTTGTTCAGCCCATTACAGAGATTCTGGTGGATCCAATCATGAAATGCAGAGACTGATCCAAACTTAACCAAAGTTAATATAACCATGTCAACTTTCTAATTAAGCTTTTTAAACTCTAACATACATATTTATTTTCAACTGTAATGAAGGCTTTTGTTTGGGAATATCTTATACATATATCATACATACAGAGTTTTTATTTTCCCCTGCTAGATAGGCAGCCAGCATAGATTTGTGCGTTAAGGGTGCAGGACTTCCTGGCAAGCATTAGGATTTAGCTGACCACCAATTTATGTTAAGGAGAAAGGTTTCTCTTGTAGGAAAATGGCAAGCAAAGATGGGCCTTCTCAACTTCCTTGAACATCTTGTAGGTTCTTTCAGGATGAATGGGTTAGGATTTTTGAGAGCTGGGTGCCTTAGGCACCTTTAGACCATGGTTCTGCCACCAATAAAATTTTGAGTTCTTGGGTTTCAATGTAACACTAAGGCCTGGTCCACACTAACCCCCCACTTCGAACTAAGATACGCAACTTCAGCTACGTGAATAATGTAGCTGAAGTCGAAGTACCTTAGTTCGAACTTACCGCGGGTACAGACGCGGCAGGCAGGCCCCCCCCGTCGATGCCGCGTACTCCTCTCGCCGAGCAGGAGTACCGGCGTCGACAGCAAGCACTTCCGGGATCGATCCCAGAAGATCGATTGCTTACCGCCGGACCCGGAGGTAAGTC